TCGCCCATGATCGCAGTCTACCAAGAGCTATCCTTGATCGCCTTGGGTAACCAGCTACCCAAGTCCACCCTTGATCGCCCGGCCCCCATGGCTACCGTGTGGGCCTCGTGCGCTTCCTGCAGTTCTGTCTTGTGCCCCACTGGGCCTGTACATATGGTTGGTTCGTGACACAATTGCTGTACCTCTACGCGAGGTGAAGGCGTAATGAGAATCACTTATTCACTCACTTATACCGAGCCAAGGTCATCGAAGCCTGGAACTGTCCCGACTAACCAAGGTAGAAGCGGATCTTTTCAGAGCCTGCATTAAAGTCCTCCTCTTTTTGATGTAAATGGTAGGACTGCAAGTGACGAAGCCGCTGCCGGGATGCCTTTGGAACACGTTGTAGTACTGCGTTAACCAATGAGTTGTGGTGTAGTCGCTGCGCGGCAAGGTTAGCGGATGAACTCGGTAATAATCGGAACACGGCAACTCACATCCAAGAGACCCTCACCAAAGCCTCGGCGTCCTGATCGACACCATCGCGCCAGAACGTGAATTCCTTGATGATGACGCCTGGCCTGAAATCGGCCTCCTGTATGGCCTGCAAAACGCTGTTGTTAAGCGTCGTGTCTACCACCAGCGTGCGGCCGTCAATCTTCATGATGCCGTCCTCGATGTACCTGGCGTCCTCTATCGAGGGTATCTGATAAGTAGTATGTGGAATGGCATTGCGGCTGCCTTGTGCCTGGGCGAGAAACCTCCCCAAGTCGCCCAGGAAGTGCTCTCTTCTTTCCTCTATCCTGTACGGAAGAGAGAGGAGCTGGACATCCGAGCTGCGTGCAGTCTTTCGTGTAAAGTGGACGATCTTGTCGATGCTCACACCGGCCTGCTTTAACTGTTGGTAGAACGAGGACGGGTCGGGATCCTGCTTGGCGTCACGGATATTGTAAAGAAACTTGCCGCTAGGCGACGTGCTGTCAAAGCCGTAGTACTGTAGCTCGGCTAGATGGACCCTTTGCAATATGTCGTGGTACTCGGACGTTTTTGCTGGTGGCGGCTCCCTTTTCCAAAATTTGGAGTGGAATGGCGGCCTTGGAAGCTGCTCCAAGATGTTGAAGATCCTAGGTTCAATCAGCTATGGTACCTATGGTCTGCGAAAAAAAGACATACTCTTTGTCATTGGCCTCGCGCCAATCCACGCCTCTCTGTTTGAGAATTTGGCGCGCCTTGTGGATATGCGGCGGCTCTTCCAAATCGTCATGCACCAAATATCTGACTCTCTTGACGATTTCGTCATGCTTCTGCTGCGGCCAGAAACCGTCAAGATCCCCGGGTCTGAGCGGCCGCGCCCCTGGAATGGGCGTGATGGTACCCTCTGATCGTGGCATCTGTGGAAGCGAGCTGACCTTGAGGATGCGGCCGCCGACCAAATCTAGCGCGTGATGATCAATGCCAACGACAGCGTTCAAGTGGTAAAAACCAGTAGTCTATAGCTAGATAGCTTTGGCCACGCGCTTGTCGACGATGTTGCAGCCCTCGATGCCTCGCAGAAGGAGATGGGGTTGATAATGTCTCAAGAGTAGGCCACTTCAACAAGGTGCTGTCGTCCGTCTCGTTCGTAGTGTGCGCACCCATCGGCCCCCTTTGTTCCTTCTTGACTTGGACACCCTGAGACAAAGAGGGATCCAAGACGACGTCCATTGTGACCAGGACGGTTGGTCGGTTGGTGCTGAACAAATGCGTCCGTCTGTGGCTGAGCCACAAAAGCTTGATGTTCCAGATCATTCGAGGGGCAAAATGGGGCACAAGGGTTAGGGCTCAGTATGCCGTGATCTCTCCATGGGGCAAAAGACTGGGCAGCCAAACAGGGATTGGAGGCCGCTAATTTGTCGTCAAACCATCCTGCTGTGGAAGATACCTGCCAGCAAAGGTAGGATAAGGTTAGAAGTGCATATCGCGGTAAACATGACGGTGAAAAATGGTATGGGGACGCAGAGGCACACTGGCAATACGGAATCTCTATGTGCAGGCGGGCGACCACCGAACGTAAATGCCTGGGACCGAACACGACCGTTGAGAAGTGTCACGTGCAGATCTCTAGGGAGCGAGTTCTTGGCGCGACCTGAAAGTGATGCTGCGCATCAAACGATATTCCCCGGTCAGCTGTTCGTCACTTGTGGACGGGAGTCACTAGAGTTCTGGATCGTGTTCATTTATGAAGTGCATTGCGTGGGATTGTTGGAACCTCGGACACCCAAAAAATCATCGCGAAATCCGGTTTGCGGGAGTTCCCGCCGCGGAGATGCCAGGCTTGGCCGAAATACCGTATTAAACGGCTGAGTCAGCCGATTTTTGTTACCAATTGTGAGCTGATCGGTCGTGACTGCCAGGTCAAGCCTGGACGTTCCCGATATTCTCCACGGCAAATTCTGGACGAACGGAGCAAACTCGGCCGATTGTGGACAACAAATGTTAGCATGCAGCACAACAACATACGGGAACCGTCGACGGTCCTCGGAGATGTGTATTTCTGTTTCTGCTTCGATCGTACGGCATGCTCGGTGGTCCCACGCGTCAGGCCGGTGCGACGGTGAGTGGAATCGAGCGATGAGATTCCCGTAGTGCGTCGACGGCGGCGTCAGTTGGTGATGGGCCTGGGTAGCACGATAAATAACACCCGTATCGAGTCTTCCGTGTCCCGCTGCAACATCACAGCATCAAAGCACTTCCCCACTTGTCCCGGCTCGGAAGCCACGTAGTACCGAGCAGTCTTGAAGAATCTGATTTGAAACCGGTTCATACCTTACTCACCGGGATCCCACCGCCAGAACTTGACCCTCATTCGTGCCCACAGCAGTACAACAGGGACCAGAACACTCGCGATGGCTGCTCTCCTTACCGAAAGCCAGATTGCCATCGTCAAGGCGACGGCGCCCGTGCTCAAGGAACATGGCGTCGCCATCACCACCGTCTTCTATGAGAACATGCTCCGGGAGAACCCCGAGCTCCACAACATCTTCAGCACCACCAGCCAGACGACTGGCCGGCAACCCCGCGCCCTCGCCGGCGCCGTGCTTGGTTATGCCACATACATCGACGATCTGCCCAAGCTGACGCACGCCGTCGAGCGCATCGCCCACAAGCACGTCTCCCTGCAGGTCGCCCCCGAGCAGTACGACATCGTCGGCAAGTACCTGATTCAGGCCATCGGCCAGGTCCTCGGTGACGCCGCCACCACAGATATTGTCGACGCGTGGAAGGCCGCCTACGGTGTGCTCGCCAAAGTCTTCATCAACCGCGAGGGTAAAATGTACAAGGCCAACGCGGCTGAGAACTGGGTCGGCTGGCGCAAGTTCAAGATTGTGCGCAAGGTGCCCGAGAGCAGCGTCATCACGAGCTTCTACCTGGCGCCCACCGACGGCGAGGTCCCGCTGCCCAAGTACTACCCCGGCCAGTACGTCAGCGTGCAGGTGCCCGTCCCCGAGCTGGGGTACCTTCAGAGCAGGCAGTATTCGCTCAGTGAAGGGCCGAAGGCCAAGGGCGAATACTACCGTATCAGCGTCAGGAGGGAAGACGCCGGCGAGACGGGTATCCCGGGCCTCATCTCCAACATGCTACACGCCCAGTACGCCGTCGGCGACGAGGTCGAGCTGTCGCACCCGCAGGGCGAGTTCTTCGTCGACCCCAGCGACACCTCCAAGGACGGCGTGCCGGCGGTGCTCATCTCGGCCGGCATCGGCGCCACCCCGCTCCAGGCCATCCTCGACAGCCTGACCACCGCGCCAGACGGCCAGCCGCCCGCCGTCAGGCGGCCCGTCTCGTGGATCCACGCGTCCCGGTCGCGCGCCATGCAGCCGTTTGCCGATGCCGTGCGGCAGATCTGCCGCGAGAATGAGAACGTCACGGCCAATGTGTTCCTGCACACCCTCGGCCCCAAAGACCGCGTCCGCGAGCACTACGAGTTTTGCGAGATGCGAATGGACCTTGCAAAGTTGGACAAGGAGCGGGACCTGTTCCTGCACGACGCCAGGGCCGAGTATTTCATTTGCGGCCCCGAGGCATTCATGCTGGACAAGCGAGCGGCGCTGATGGCGATGGGTGTCGACCAGAGTAGGATCTTCCTCGAGCTGTTCGCGACGGGTGATGTGGCTGCCGAGTAGATGTCAGTTGGGGGTTGGCCAGAGCTTACTGGACGGGAAAGAAAAAAAATGGATGACAGATAGCGGGAGGCGTTTGGATTCAGGGACTAGAGGATTCAGGGACGAGAGGAATGCTGAAATTATCTGTAGGATTGTGGTTCGGATATCTTAGAGGAATTGTAATATCTCTTCTCCGGACCTGCAAAAATTGCGACCATGGATGTTTATAAGAATGCGGTGCCATACTGGGCACGGCCTGGGGAGCGGCGCATGCTGAAAGGGTCCCTTCAGACACCTTAACACTACTGAGATTTGTTAGCATCAAGTTCAACGACCCCTCTCTGATCGCTGGGCCAAGGCGCCCGATGCCGCTATTGGAGCTCAACTCGCCTCGATCGTTGTGGCACAGCTTCATCTGTTTTCCCTTAGACCAGGTATGTTCCAAGAGGAATGACCGGGTGTTGAAGGCAAGATACTTCATGGAAAGGACTACGAAGTATCCGTGTCCGTCCGTCTTCCGCAGCCACCTGGTCATCAACCCCTAAATGCCCTTTCTCACTCTTCCGGGATAGAGAATCTAGGATCGATTTTCTCTCAATGTTGGTCTCTCAGTGTTGCACGTTTAAGTACGGAGTACGGCACTGTTCAGCTAGTTAAGTCTTGGCGTTCAGGGGCTCCGAACGTCACCCGGCAACAGCCATCAACATCAACATCAACACTCAGCCCCGAGATCAGATGCCAAGGGATATTGCGAAGCGATATACGGGTGCTCGCCCATGTCCGAGCCATTCTCGTGTTATTTACTGTATAACACAGGAAATGATGAACATGACTGATAGATAGAATCGCAACGTTGTCGGGAGAGCCCCTCTTCACCTATACGTCGGCAAAGTGGCAGCCAAAGAGCTCTGATGTGTTCTTGGTTATTGGATGTTCTTCCTTCAGGTTCCCACTCCATGCTGTGAAGTTTCTGAGAACAGGGGAGAAAAAACTATCGTCGAGGAATGACTCGGGGTGTAATCGGTAGAGACACAAGAGAGCTGCATTCTGTCGAAGCAGGCGGAGCAAAGAGCCGGGCTAGAGGTTTGCAGAGAAAGACTTCAACACATTTCTTATCTTCACTCATTCTTTGCAACGGACTTTGACTTGAGGTTACACGGGCGTGTCATACAAGGTGCTACACGACTTACCTGTGTCTTAGCCGCATGAAATGTTTACAGGACTTCGAAGTCCGGATGAGCTTCACCAAACCACAACAAGCGGCCGATATGTGCTCTGGTGATGCTCCTTTATTGCGATTAGCGTAATTTGGTGGTTGATTGAGAATGCAACTAGAGTCCACAATACCTGAACACGGAAGGGAAGATGCGCGAATATCTACCTACTTATCCTTAATCGAAACATCTGATTGTCTGTCATTAAAATGATACATTAACCTCGACGTTTACCTAAGTGTTCGCGTCCTCAGATAAACTCTACCGTGTAAGCCTTGGCGCTCAGTACGAGAAAACTGTTCCGGTACTCTACCTTCGTAACTGACCTGTTCTCTACCTTTAGATTGCTCATCACGGAGTACTTTAGCCTGCCAGCACCTTAAGGCTTGCCCCAATAACGCGAACTGTTAACTTGACTCTGGAAGAGTGAACTATGAGGAAGGCACGGCAAGCGAAATGAAGATCTCTCAAGCGCTGTGGCAGGCGGATAGCGGCGGGCAACGTCCTAGAACCACATATCTGGGACTACTTTTGTAACCATATTCCTATAGAACCAGACCGTTGTTGCGATGCCTTCGCACTGGAACTAAAAATCATGCGGGGGGCTATTCTGGGTGGAAAAGAATGGACAAGAAAGAAGCGCGTCAATAACACCAGGCTGGGTTGATGACGCGCTGCGGCCTTCACGGATGAGCGGCTTTTCTTGACTCTGGTTCTTCCTGAATGGTCGCCTAGCCGGCGTCCGTGAGCAGGCGTGTGGTCCACCACAGTCCTACAGACTGTGCGGCGCTTTCATCGACCTGAATTTGCGGAGCCCATCTTTGTGACGAATTGCCTAGTCCCCAGGCTGTGAAGGGCATTTCATCCTTTCTTGCCCGTCAATCTCATCTGTTCGGGGACAGTTTGTGATCACGGAGCTCACCAACGTGCCCTAACAGCCCTAATTCGCCTTTCCTTTCCTCTCCTCCTCGATCTCAATCTCTGACCCACACATCATCTCACAACACCGATTTTCTCTGACTGTTGCCATCATCAACCAATTGTTGCAACATCAGTTTTGCGTTTGGTCGATATTGTCTCCCGTCTTCAGCGTTCTTCAGCGTCCGTCTGCATTACGCGTTCATTGTCATCATTGTCATCAAACGGCATCTCAGCTACTCATCCCTTAATTGCATCTCCTTGTCGCAGTTCACCGCTGTTCCGCGGCGTTTGCACCGGTTCATCCGGCATTCGACCGAACCATGTCATACAAGACTCCCATCTCTGAGCCCATCGCGGTCATCGGAGCGAGCTGTCGATTTGCCGGCGGTATCACGACGCCGTCACGCTTGTGGGAGCTCCTCGAGAAACCGGTCGACCTGAGTCGTGAAGTTCCTGCTGAGAGGTTCAACATCAAGGTCAGCAAAGACAAGTCTGCTTCATCACCGCGCGCATCACTGTTGATCATGTTCAGGCATTCTATCACCCGGACGGAGAACACCATGGGACAACCAACTCTCCAAAGGCGTATTTCATCGACCAAGATCATCGCGTCTTTGACGCAAGCTTCTTCAACATCTCGCCCAAAGAGGCTGAGGCCATTGATCCTCAGCAGCGCATGATGCTCGAGGTCGTGTACGAGGCCCTCGAGTCTGCCGGGTACACTCTTCAGCGGTACGCCGGCGAGAGGGTCGCCGTTTTTGCCGGTCTCATGACTGGCGACTACGACACCCTCTCACAGCGCGACGAGCTTGACACCAGCCAGTACTACGCCACTGGCAACGCGCGCTCGATTCTGTCAAATCGCATCTCGTACTTCTTCAACTTCAATGGCCCATCCATGACCATCGATACCGCGTGTTCATCCAGCCTGGTGGCACTGCATCAAGCCGTCTTGAGCCTGCGATCTGGAGAATGCGGCATGGCCTGCGTCGCTGGTGCCAATCTCATCCTTACTCCGGAGCAGTTCGTTGTCGAGTCGAGCTTGCACATGCTCAGCCCCACTGGCCACTGCCGCATGTGGGATGCTGGCGCTGACGGCTACGCCCGCGGCGAAGGTATCGCCGCCATATTCATCAAGCCCTTGAGCCAGGCTCTCGCCGACGGAGACCGCATTGAGGCCATCATTCGCGAGACTGGTGTCAATTCGGACGGTCGTTCCCGCGGAATTACGATGCCTAACTGGAAGGCTCAGTCCCAGCTGATTCAAGACACGTACCAGCGCGCAGGTCTGGACCCCAATGCTCCCGAAGATCGTTGCCAGTATTTCGAAGCACACGGCACCGGCACCAGTGCCGGCGATCCCAACGAAGCCCGCGCAATCGAGGACGCCTTCTTCGGCCGTGACAAGGATTCTACGACCACTCCCTCGGACAACAAACTGGTTGTCGGCTCCGTCAAGACCATCATCGGCCACACCGAAGGCGCCGCTGGTTTGGCTGGTCTTCTGAAGGTGATTGAGAGCATGCGCCATTCCACGGTTCCCCCAAACCTTCATCTGGAGCATCTCAATCCTCAGGTTCAGAAGTACTACAGCCACCTGTTTGTCCCTACCTCGCCTGTTGATTGGCCAAACGTCCCGGCCGGCCAGCCAAAGCGTGGCAGTGTCAACTCGTTCGGTTTTGGAGGCACCAATGCTCATGCCATTGTCGAGCAGTATGTCCCGGAGATTCACAACGCTCTTGCCAAGGTCTTCCGCCCGGGCCTCGAGGTGCCCATGCCGATCCGTCCGATTGACCACGCGAACAAGTCTCCAATTTGCTTGCCGCTTGTTCTTTCGGCCCCTTCTCAGAAGGCCTTGACCGTCATCGTCAAGAAGTATCGCGATTATCTCAGCCAAGGCTCTGTGGCCAGCGCAGAGGGAGTGGCCTGGCACGCTTACGGTCGGCGGACAGCTTTTCCATTCCGCCTTGCTGTCTCCAGCCTCTCGGTTTCCGGTCTTGTTGCCAAACTCAACTCGCTCATCGCCAAATCCGAGAATTCGTCGACAGCCGCCATTGGCACCCGCGCTCGGCCCAAGTACGAGAAACCTAAGATCCTCGGCGTCTTCACTGGCCAGGGCGCTCAGTGGGCGACGATGTCTCGCGGCCTGATGCTTTCTAGCAGGGTATATGCCAACACCATTCGGTCACTCGACGAAATCCTTCGAACTTGCCCTGATCCGCCTACTTGGTCATTGGAGCAGGAAATCATGGCCGACGACGGGCTCTCCAGGGTGCAGACGGCCTCTGTCTCGCAGCCCCTTTGCACTGCCGTTCAGCTTGCTCTGATCGAGCTTCTTCGCCATCTCGGGATTGCTTTCCACACGGTTATCGGCCACTCTTCCGGCGAAATTGCTGCGGCATATGCGGCTTTCAAAATTTCCCTTCGCGACGCCATCTTGATCTCCCATTATCGCGGGCTGGGTGTGCACATAGCTTGCAGTGCCAACGGCGCCAAGGGCGGAATGCTTGCAGCTAACTTGACCAAGGCAGATGCCACCGAGTTCTGTGCACAGAAGCAGTACTTTGATCGCTTGTGGATTGCCGCGAGCAACGCACCGCGCAGCGTCACGCTCTCCGGAGACCTCGACGCTGTGAAGCAGGCATGCGAGGACCTAGCCAAGCAGCAGAAGTTTGCCCGGCTCTTGTTCGTCGATACGGCCTACCATTCCCCGCACATGGAGGGCTCCTCGGTCAAGTACCTCCAGACTCTGGAGGCTTGCGCCATTGCCCCTGCGAAGGGTAACGGAACCAACTGGGTCTCCAGCGTATACGGCGCAGGCGAGCCTACGGACGCCGAACTTGCTGCCGCGTATTGGAAGGACAACATGGTCAAACCAGTTCTGTTCTACGAAGCAGTTACCACCGCCTTGGAGACTCATGGTGCATTCGACTGCGCCATTGAGATTGGACCCCACGCTGCACTTAAAGGCCCTGTTGCCCAGATCATGAAGGAGAAAAACATCCCGGCGTTCCCCTACTACGGCCTGCTCGACCGCAAGCTGGACGATCGCGAGGCTTTTGCAAACTTTCTGGGCTGGATGTGGACTGAGTTTGGATCATCCTTGCCCCAGATACGTCATTTTGTCGCCGGCTCTCTGCAGCCTGAGCTTGTCAATACACGGCTCTGCGATGCGCCAACCTACCCGTGGGACCACTCTCAGCTGTTTTACCGGGAATCGCGCATCTCTCGCCAGTACCACTTCAAGACTGACAAGCCGCATGAACTTCTCGGCGTCCGGACCCGCGATGACAACAAGCATCAGCTGCGGTGGCGGAACATCCTCAAGTTTGAGAAGCTTCCCTGGGTCAAGCATCACAGCTTCCAGGGTCAGGCTTTGCTTCCCGCGTCCGCTTACCTCGTCATGACTCTGGATGCTGCGCGAGTTGCACTGGCGGGCCGCCATGCTTCGGTTGTTGAGCTCCGCGATCTGAGGTTTCCCAGCGGCGTCATCCTCGAGCCCCATACGCCGGGCGTTGAGGTTCTGTTCAATTTAACCATTGAGCAAGAGACAAAGAGCACAATCGATGCATCTTTTACCCTGACATCCACCATGGCGGACGGCAGCACCAACATGAAGAAGAACTTCAGCGGACGCCTTACCGTCGTGCTGGAGGAGCCATCTGCCAGCGCTCTGCCGCATCGGCCCAAGGAGCGGGCTGAGGCCTTGCACGCCAGCCCCGAAGCTTTCTATGAAATGATGGCCGGCACTGGACTGGTGTACACTTCCCCGTTCAAAGCGTTGCAAACTGTCGAGAGGCGGTACAACTTTTCCTCTGGCACGCTGCACAAGTACCATCCCGAGGACACCACAGCACTGTCCATCAGCCCTGCCACACTGGATGGATGTTTGCAAACTGCCTTCCTCACTATCTCTTCTCCGGGCGACAAGGCGATCTGGACTTCTTTCCTTCCCCTGGGAATTGACTGTGTCCGGTTCAACCTAGCCATCTGCGACATCAAGGACCGCGACCAAGACCAACTTGCTGTCGACGCATACATGACCAGGGAGACGCCCATTACCTCGCAGACCGCTGCATCTTTCACCGCGGACATTGAGATCTTCAATCCGGTTGGCGAGATGGAGATCCAGGTGCAAGGCCTCACTGTCGGGTCGTTCAGTTCGACAAAGCCCGAAGACGACCACGAGCTGTACTTGACGACCAAATTTGACATTGATCCGGACGACGAGATTGTCTCTGCTGATACCACTGAGACTGTGTACGCAACAAACCCGATGCTCCTTGAGAGCTGTGAACGGGTCGCATCGTTCTACGCCCGCGATGCATCTATCTGCCGTCACCGGCCTGCGTCTTCGAGCCTGACAGAGCTGCCAGCATTGTACACTTCATGGCCGAACGAGACGGAGAAAACTTTGGACGCATTTATCCGCGAATCTCCGTACTTTTTGGCTCTCGACTTCATCCGCGAGCTCGGGAAGAACCTTCCGGACGTGCTCACAGGCATACTTCCCGCTGTTATCGATGAGGCGCATCAACTTGTTGGATTCCAGCGACATGTCTCCCGCGTTGTCCGCCAAATTGCCCACAAATACCCGCGCATGAACGTCTTGGGACTAACGGATCCCGAGTTGGGGCTGACCGAGCACGTTCTTGAGGGCTTGCAGGATGCCTTTGTGCTCTACCGGGTCGGCTATGAGCCCGAGAAGAATTTGGGCAGCCGTATCCAGGCCAGCGACTCACTCCGAAACAAGATCATGGTGGACAAGGTCGATTTGACCACTCCTGGAGTGGAGAAGGGTCTGTCATATGACCTTGTGCTCCTTGCCACTTCGGTCATTGAGTCGCAGAAGACCGCGATTGTTCTCCAGACCATCAAGCGCATGATGCGGCCGGGCGGCTTCCTGATGCTGGTTGATGTTTCCCGGACCCCGCTGAAACATCGCATTCGACGCTGCGCCGGCGTTGTTTCGAGCGGAAGCAACCTTCCCTCGCCGCCAGATTGGCCAGATGTGCTCGACCAGTGCGGGTTTGACTGCCCGATGAAGAACGGCCGTCAGTACTATCCTTCAGGTTTCTCACTGATCATTTGCCAAGCCGACTCCCCCGAGAAGCGCATCTTGCTGCATCCTCTCGCCATTTCGCATCCGCCTCAACTGGTCAACCGCCTACTGGTTGTCGGAGGGAAGCAGATGTGGACTTCGCTCATCGCATCGGGCGTCTCCTCTGATCTTGCTTCGCACTGCGGAGCTGTCGAGACTGTGCCGACTCTTGAATCCCTCAACCCCGGCAACCTGGGCTGGTTCAATGCTGTCATCTTCCTGAATGACATCGACGAGCCGGTTCTGGCGAACATGACAAAGGAGCGGATGGGCGTTCTTCGGGCCCTCTTCAGGCCTGAGATGATGATCCTTTGGGTCACGCACAATTCTCGGTTCTACAACCCCGATCATGCGGCTTCGTTTGGCTTCGCTCGCACCCTGGCGGCCGAGACCCCGGGTTTGGTGCTGCAGATGCTCGATCTTGACACGCTTTACACTGCCCTTGCAGTGGGCACCATCAGCGAGACCTTTGCCCGGCTGGCGACGGATACATTGATCGAGCCCGACATGGAAAACAAGCCGCTCTGGATCAACGAGCGTGAGGTTCACATCGAGAATGGTCATCGTCTTATTCCGCGTGTTTTGCCCTGGAAGGATGGCAATGCCCGCGTCAACGCTCCTCGTCGGGTGGTGTCCAACACTGTCAACACCCTGGAGAATGTTGTCCAGATCGTTCACACCCAATCGGAGAACCGATTTGATGTCAGGAAGATTGAGGCTTTGGCTGAGTTACCAGATCGGGTAACGATTCAGGTGGAATACAGCACTGCAGTGGCAGTGAACGTGGGAACAACATCCTATCACATTTGCTTGGGACACGACTCAGACACTGGGATGACGCAAGTGGCCTATTCGGAGTCGAATGCGTCGTACATCGCCGTCTCGCTCCTGACCGTGGGCAGCATCAAGAACAAGGCCTTAAACAAGCCGGCCTTTCTCGCGCTTGTGTCTCGATACCTCGCGGCTCTCGAACTGATCAAGGCGGCGCATGGTCAACCGATCCTCATTGTGGGCGCAGACAAGATGTTTTACGAGTGTCTTAACAATAACGGCACTACCCCGATTCGTGCTGTGTCGACTGATGCAGCTCAGTGCGCCATCACCCCTGGGATGACCTACTTGCATCCCAGTGCGCCGCTGCGGCACGTGAAGGCGCTGTACCCACCGGAAGGCGCCTGGATCATTGACATGCTCCCGGAGACGAGCAAGCTCTCCCAGATGCTTGTCCAGAGCCTGCCAAGTAACTGCAGGTACACGACGTACTCCTCGGTCAGCAATAGTGAGACTACTACCTCTTTCGACGCCTCTTTCAAACGGGCTGTTCACCTCGCGCTCTTCAAGTCAGCGTCCTGGGAACACGACATCGAACCACCCATGGTCACGGTTCCCGATCTTCTTCGGTCCGTCTCGCTTAAACAGGCGTTTCAGATTGTCGACTGGAAGGCCGAGCGCTCGGTGTCGCAAATCGTCAAGCCGCTCGTCGGTACTCAGCTGCTCGACGCGGCCAAGACCTACGTCCTGGTCGGCCTGACCCGCGACTTCGGGCAGAGCTTATGCACTCTCTTCGTCCAGCAAGGTGCTCGCCACATTGTGCTCTGCAGCCGGAACCCGCCCAAGACTCAGCCGAAGTGGCAGACCGAGATGCTCTCCCACGGGATCACTGTCCGCTTCGAGGCACTCGACGTGACCATTATGGAGCAGGTGGTGGCTTTCAAGTCCAAGCTTGCTGACATCCTCCCGCCCGTGGGCGGCGTCGTCAACGGCGCCATGGTGCTCGAGGACCGCGTCTTCTCGCAGATGTCGCTCGACACCCTGCAGCGCGTCATGAAGCCCAAGACGGTCGGGTCGCGCAACCTCGATATTGTCTTTGACAGCCCTGACATGGACTTCTTTATCATGACCTCGTCGTTCGCGGCCATTGGCGGCCACGCCGGCCAGTCAAACTACGCGGCGGCCAACATGTACATGAACGGCCTTGCCGCCTGGCGCCGCCAGCGCGGTCTTCCCGGTTCGGTCCTGAACATTGGCGTCATCTACGGTCTTGGTTTCCTGCATCGCGAGAAGGGCGACTTGTACGAAGGCCTCGAGCGCGAGGGCTACCCGCCCATTTCAGAGCGCGACATCCACCACATGTTTGTCGAGGCTATCGCGGCCGGCAAGCCAACGCCTGACCAGATCTACGACATCACGACCGGTCTGCGGCGGTTCGCGGCCAACGACCCCAAGCTTGCCTGGCAACATGATCCTCGCTTCTCGCATTTCACAACGCGCGCCGAGGAAACCGAGGCCGGCGATGTCAGGGGTGGCGAGCAGAAGCAGAGCCTCAAGCAGCTGATGGATGCGGCCGCTACCAAGGAGCAGCTTGTCGAGGTGCTTGTGGAGGGATTCGTCGACCGCCTGCAGAGCCAGCTGCAGTTGTCCGAGGGCAGTGTGACGGGGGAGCATACCATTGTCGAGCTCGGCGTGGACTCGCTTGCGGCAGTCGAGATCCGGTCGTGGGCCTGGAAGTCGCTGGGCCAGGACGTTGCTGTCATGAAGATCCTGGGTGGCGCAACCATTCTGAAGTTGTGCACTGAGATCGCGGCGACTATTTTGGAGTCTCGCAAGAAGGCGGGCGATTCGGCGAATGATTCGCAGGACGGTGGCAAGAAGGCGACGTCGACGCTCAGCACTCTGGTTCAGCCATCGGCTTCAGTTGGTGTTACTGAGGTGACCAACTGGAAGGGTACCACGGATGGCAGCGAGGCGGTTGTGTTGTCGCCGGTTTTGGACACGAAGGGTATGAAGCAGGTGTAGATGTTGGTTGACTTTGAGGCTTTATGGCTTGGAGTTGGTGGTTGACTTTGAGGTCTTCTTGGCTAAGAGTTGGTGGACTTCGAGGTCTCTTGGCTAAGAGTTGACTTGGTGTTTGTGGGGCGGGGGTAATGGTATGGAGAAGTACTGGCGTAAATTGACTGGATGGAGATTCTGATGCCGCGGGATATGAGCGAGTTGTTGTGTTTATCGTGATATTCGACGGGAAGGGAGGGAGGATATTCGCGAGATCTTACTTTCTTCATGCCCGCAAGGATGCAGGCTGGGCATGTAATCGAGGCACTTGGCTTAAAGCCAGTGCTATACATATTCGCGACTCCACGATCAGGAGATAGTACTGGTTGTTGAGAATGATGGTCACTGTAATGCTGATGGCCCGATAATGTCTGTGGTGGTGTGTGCCAGTACTGTGCTTAATTTCCGGGGTTCCGAAATCGCAAATATTGTCTTACACAACACCTCTCTGCATGCAACGTCGGGTGCAGGCTGTCACACTCGGGAGACCAAATAAGGTGTCATTATGCAGGCAATTACTGATCATCTTGGTGATCAGAGATCTCAATTCCCAATCGTTGGAGGCAATCAACCACAGAAGTGGCTTGCTGGTTCATTCACTCCGCTTGAAGACTTCAAGCCTAGATCGACTCCCAGCGTCATCAACACTGGCCTTTTCCAGCTACCGAATGTCTGTTCCATGGTCTGCTCTGTGAACGAGGATATCACCACTTTGAATCCGAAGTTGCAGTTTCGAGTGGCACCCAACGGTTGACTCGGAGGCGATGATGGATGCGGACGAATGGGGTTTAACCGGAGGCGTGTCTGGATAGCCCCAAGGTTCGAGTCCGTGGGGTGCGAATACCCGGCAGGACTGCACCATCCATCAGGTTGCACTGGCATGGGAACAGCCGCAGTGTCGATCCGACAAAGGGCAGGGAAACCTGATTACATCCTAGGTTCAGAACGGGAAGGAGCTGTCATATTGTGTCACCACGCACATGGTCGAGTTAAAACCTCTATTGCCCCGCTCCTTTCTCCCTAACCTCCATCACTCACATCTGGAGCAAGTTTATCACTGGCACCCCACTGCCTCCTTCTTATTCCTGGCGGTTGCTAACTGATCATGAACTAACAGCCCCGCCATTTCAACCATTTCAACTTCTTCCTCAAACCCTATTCAAGTTCCCGTCAAACTCCCCATCATGTCTTCCATTCCAGAGTCCGTCGTCCCAGGCTCCGTCAACCTGCCGCCTGCGCCCTGGCCCCCGGCCGCCGTCACCCCAACCGAAGCTATCGACGCTGGCGCCGTTGCTGAACACATCGTCGCCTCCCTCAATGACGCGCTCTCCAAGAGAGACCACGCCGCGGTCGCAGACCTGTTCCTCCCCGACCCCGGAAATTACAACGTTAACAACAGCTTAGCGACGGGCTACTGGCGCGACCACCTTGTCCTCTCGTGGCGGCTGCGCACACTGAAGGGACCTGCCAAGATCTGCGCTTTTCTCGATGAGCGCTCTCAGGTGCCTCCTTCCTATTGCCAGAGCGTTGGCCCGGATTGGTTGACATTTGAGGTGGACGAGTCGAGCGGGTTTCGAAGACCGCAAGTCACGGATTTCCGCCCGGCGGGAGGTGTGACGGGTGTGGGGTTCTTTGTAAAGGTTGAGAATGGTGCGTTTGGTGGGGTGGGGAGGGGCGTTGTCCGGGCGGTGGAGGAGAGGGAGGGGGTGTGGAAGATTTGGACTCTGTTTACCACGCTGGAGGGGGTGAAGGGCATGGACGAGAGGACGGGGTTGAGAAGGGAGATCGGGGTGGAGCATAGGGTTGTGGAGGGGAGGACGAACTGGACTGAGAGGAGGCGGGCGGAAAGGGAGTTCGAAGAAGGAAGTCCGGAGGTGTTGGTCATTGGTAAGTAACGTTACTGTTTGCATGAAGGTTTGGGAAGCATGATCGCTGACACATAACGGTTCAGGGGCTGGACAGGCAGGCTTGTCTGCCGCTGCGCGACTCAAAATGCTGGGCATCTCGACCCTGGTCACCGACAAGAACAAGGCTGTCGGCGACAACTGGCGAAAGCGGTATCCCCAGCTTGTACTGCACGACCCGGTCTGGTATGACCATTTGCCGTACATTCCGTTTCCTGAGTCTTGGCCCGTGTTCACACCCAAGGACAAGCTGGCGGATTGGCTCGAGTCTTACGTCAAGGCGTTGGACCTCAACGTGTGGACAGGATCGGAGATGACAGCGTGTTTCTGGGACAAGGAGCACAAGCGCTGGACAGTGGATATTCGTCGCATCCAAGGCGAAGGCCATGCAGAGATCAGGACCATGTACCCGAAGCATATCATCATCGCCACAGGGCACGCCGGCAAGCCCTACATGCCTTCAATTCCCGGGATTGACTCCTTTCAAGGCGGCTCCTATTGGCACTCGGCCAATTTTCCGGGCGCCAAAGAGAATGGCAGGGGCAAAAAGGCGGTCGTCATTGGGGCGTGCAACTCCAGCATGGACATCTGTCAGGACTACGTGGAAAAAGGCTACGACGTGACGGTTGTGCAGCGCTCCTCCACTCTTGTCATTTCGAGCGACAATATCCGGAAAGTCTCCCTTGGCGTGCTTTATGAAGAGGGCGGACCGCCAGTTGAAGATAGCGACATTGCCGTCTGGGGCTGGCCTAGCGAGCTGCTCAAGTCGCTGCAAGTCGACCTCACATCGATCACAGAAGAGCGGGACAACGAGATGATTCATCAGTTGAACAGGGCAGGGTTCAAGACTGACAGTGGACCCTCTGGCGGAGGCATTTTTGCCAAGTACCTGCAGAGAGGAGGAGGCTATTACATCGATGTCGGCGGCGCCAAGTTGATTATTGACGGCAAAGTCAAGGTCAAGCATGGCCAAGAGGTGGTGGAAGTTCTGCCGAGGGGTCTAAAGTTCACGGACGGGAGTGTACTGGAGGCAGATGAGATTGTTTTCGCCACGGGGTACGAGAACATGCGGACGATGGCCGAGGTCCTCTTGGAACAGGAGCTTACGGATAAGGTCGGGGGCATCTGGGGCTGGGATCAAGAGGGCGAGATGAGGACCATCTGGACCAGCAGTGGGCATCCGGGACTCTGGTTCCACGGCGGTAATCTAGCCTTTTGCAGGTATTACTCGAGATTGGTGGCACTGCAGATCCTGGCAAAACTGAAGGGCTTGGAACGGCAGGCTTAAGAGGGAGACAGTTGTGGCCCATTATTATTGAGGATGCCAAACTGCCAATTTGAGCTACACAAACCTGTTGGAACCTGCAGGGCGACGACCGCTGTGATATGCGCTGGAAGAAGCTATTCCCAGTCAAAGCAGTGGATTGAATTTTTTAAGGTGGTAAAAGTGATTGATTGACCATGCTGTTGATGGGCATGGGAGAGGACTAAGTATGTAAGGAAGAGGGGTTGCGGTGCTGGCACCAATCAACCACCGAGGTCCGTTGAATGCAGCCATCAAGGCGGCTTCGTTCCGACAAAACCTCCTTAGGCCGAGTTGGAGCCACCTCGCAGTATTGGCATTGTTCAGGGGGGGCTTGGCATTCATGGGCATCACTCTAAGGACTTGCTCCGTGTTTGTTCACTTGCTTTCAACCTTTACAAGGCACACAACGTTCCTATGGGATGATGTTCAAGGGACTTTGGTGAATCATATTTGCCAGTGATATTGTGCAATGAATGGGTGAGTGAGCTGGAGCTGGCTGAGTGCACCAATCCAGGCCAGCATGGGTACAAGGTGCCTTCCCTTTTTCCGCTTTCACTCTGATGTGGGCTTCAAAGCCTTGCTTCCTGGAAACGTGCTCCGAGGGAGCAACTGCTCCCATCGGGGAACGGGATTGTTGACAATTGCCAGCCACGCCTTCTCTTTGGATCCCATTGGTCGCCCTCGGAGGATCGCTCGCTTGTTCGAGCTGGATCGAGCCTCAGTCAGGTAAACACTCCTATACACTTTTCATTCGTCCTCTTGAATCAGTGTTCTCACATGATTCACATCGTTATTTCGGACTGACCATGAAGCTGTTGGTTTCGCTCTTTGCCGCCCTGTTCTCGGCTCCGGTATCCTCGGACCCGTTCCCGAGGCAGCGTGCGCAAACCGACCCCCCACTGCCCCGGCTGATCCTCTACTACCAAACAACCCACGACTCCATTGGGCGCCCCATCTCTATGCTCCCGCTCATCAATAAGCAGCGCATTGCCCTCACCCACCTCATTGTCGGCGCCTTCCACGTCAATGCCAACAACACGATCCATCTCAATGACTTCCCGCCTCACCATCCCATCTTCCACACTCTCTGGAAGGAGACCCGAGTCCTGCAATCCGCTGGCATCAAGATCTTTGCCATAGTAGGCGGCGCAGCCCCAGGCTCCTTCACCCCCTCCACCCTCGACGCCCCAGACACCCCCACCTTCGAATCATCCTACGCCCTCCTCCGCAAGGTCCTCACGGCCCACAAGCTCGACGGCATCGACATCGACGTGGAGGAGCCCATGACCCAGCGCGGCATTACCCGCCTGATCAACCGGCTGCACGCCGACTTTGGCGGCCGCAACTTCACCATCACCCTCGCCCCCGTCGCCACAGCCCTCTTGCCGGCGGGAGGGGCATGGGGCAACCTCAGCGGGTTCGACTACGCGGCGCTCGACCGACAGGTGGGACGCATGATTGGGTGGTACAATGCGCAGTTCTACAACGGGTTTGGGACCATGGCGACGACGGCACTGTTTGATCGCATTGTCGGCGACGGCGGGTGGGATCCGAGGCGGATTGTCGTGGGCCAGCTGACGAGTCCGGAAAATGGCGGTGGGTTTGTGGGACATGAGCGGTTGGAGAACACGGTCAGGGTGTTGAAGGGGAAGTACGGAAAGATTGGGGGCGTGGTCGGATGGGAATATTTCAACGGGGTGCCGGGCGGGTTGCGGCGGCCGTGGGAGTGGGCTGAGGTCATGACCGGGATCTTGAGGCCTGGTCGGAGACCGGTGTTGAAGATTACGAGGGAGATGGCGCAGAACTTGAATGAAGCGTGGGTGGAGAGCGCGGCGGCGGCGGGCGTTGGTGGTGAGATGTGTGGGTTGGTAACTGCAGAGAGATGGACTTACTGCGATGGGACAACCACGTTGGTGCCAAACGTCGACTACTTGGGTATGGTCAACGGGTGATAGCATTGGACGGACTGCCTATTAGTTTGAACATCATTAGTGCTAAGCCTGTGTTTCGTCTGCCCTTTCTGCGCCCTCTTGCTGCGAGGTCCCCTGAAGCTAAGAGCCTTGTGACACAGGTGTCACCGTGACGTGCGTCCTGTCGTGGTTCACTATGAACTCAGCCTGAGCATATCCATGATGATAAACCAACGTGCTGCCTTCATTGGGGACCGGATTCTGCTGTAGCATGTTGTCGTCGTCGTTGTTGTTGTTTGCCATTAGCGTCCCAGGGTCGGAGCGTGCCAAGCAAGTTTTCTGATGTTCACGTAAGCCTGAGGAGCCTCTAAACTTCTTCTCGCAGGCGATGCACGTCTGAAGGTTCAGATGCTTGAGAGCTCGGAGCACTGTTCGGCCATGAACCTGCCAGTATGTCAGCCTCTACTACGAGTAAGACAGGTGAGAACATGCCTCAACATCGATGCCAGCGGCTGCAGGCAGCCCAGCCCAGGAAACGGTCCGCCCGTCGAACCCATTGGTATCAATGAACCTCTCGATCTGGGCAACCATATTGGGGGTGAGCTTTCTCTTGCGGCCTCGGGTTTCCTTTGAATGGTGTGCACGGGCCTCTTGATCTCGAGGTTGTTTGAGAATCCTCCAGCCGGTGCATTTGCTGACCCCGTGGAATCTGAAGACATCGTTGTGGCTATATCTAATGCCTTGGCTGTCGAGGAAATCGCAAGTCCCCTGAATGCGGGCTTTTTGCGTGGACGTTGCATGCATTGAGGTATTACCCATTGTGAAGATAGATGGGCCTTGCCGACTCTTACTGCGTTAGATCCGTGCAAAATGGGAAAGGCGAAGGTTGTGTGTTGCCGTTTGTTTGGCTATGATAATGTCGTCTGTCGTGGGGGTGCACAAAACCGGTTTTGTGGTAACTAAATACTGTACCAATCAAAACATCAGGGAGATCACGCAGGAAGCCTGAGGGTGCCGGGCTCCATCATGACAAAAAAATAGATCCACTGAAAGCTGATTCTAGGTGGCCCCACCTCAACACCAAGCCCACGTCCCATTTCTACATTGCCAAACCACCATTCTGTCAACTGTTTCCAACAGCCACAATGGGTTATCCGCATTGTACGACTCCAAAGAAGGCCAAGGTCGAGGGCGCGGTTGAGTTCCTTGAGGCCAATAAAATCCCGCACTTTAAAAGCGATGTTTTCAAGCAATTTGGAGTCACCCATCCAACTGGCTGGCGTTATCTGCGCGAGGCCGAAAGTTACGGCAGTCGTACCTACCATTCTGCTTTTCCGGACCGCCGAGGCCGTAAATCGAAGACTTCAGACCGAGATCTAGCAACGATAGAATGCTTCATTGAGTCTAACGACTTCGATGGACGTACTGTGCCTTACGCCGCCCTCCCTGCCGCTGCTGGGCTCGACCTCGATGTTTCTGCGCGAACCGTACGCCGAGCCGTCGGCTCCCTCGACTTCCGCTTCTACGTGGCATACCAGAAGCACTAGGCCTCGCAGCGCCTAAAAGAACGCCAGGCAGAGTATAGCCGCGTTATGCTAGAAAAGAAAAAGAAGACTGGCGGCACATCAGATTCTCCGATGAATGCCATTTTGGCTGGGGTCCCGAGGGTAGAATCTACGTCCTTCGAAGACCGTAAGAGCGCTGTTGCCCTGACTGTCTTGTTGAGCGTAGAACTCCCGATGAAAAAGACCTCAAACGTGTACACTGTTGGGCAGCCGTTGGATACGACTTCAAGTCGCCACTCGTATGGTATGACAGTGGGAACGACTACGGGAAGATGACCTTGCAGCAAGACTGGAAACAACGCAACGCCCTGCAACGCGCGTTGGGCCAACGCAGAGCAAAGCAATGCAACGCGACCGAAAAAAAGCTCAAATCAACGCAACGCGCACAACTGCGTTGCGTTGGCGCGTTGACAAAAAAAGTTCACTTTTTAAAGCTCTTTAGAGCGCTCTAGGGATTGGAATAGCCGAAATTAAGGCGGATTTGGGCTCTTTACTGGATTTGGAGTTGATACTCGGCCTCAGAGTCATAGGTAACGGGCATGGCTTCGGCACCGGAAAAATGGCCCACCCGGTAAAATGGGGTCTAGCAATGCCTGCCCGTTGACCAGAACACTGCAAATATTGGCCCTTTTGTAACCGCCTTGCCACTGCTTGACGCCCCTAATATCAAGGTAATAACGTATTGCTTGTCATTATGTTGTAACTCTGCTAACTAATTATATGCCAGTTGCTTACCTGCGACGGCCGACAAATCGCTCACCGGCCCCGAACCAGATATACTGTCTGTTGCCACGGCTGGCATTCGCAAAGTCATTGCGTTCCACGAGCCACGAACGCTTACCGAACCAGCCGCTGCTCTGGCGGACGTCGACATCCAAGATTTACCTGCAGATTTAAGGCAGTTGCCTACTCTCAAGTCTGGCAATCGTCGCTTTATTCTAGAGCGGTTTCTTGCCAGAAAGAATACGAGGACTTCTTGAATCGCCGACCACGGCACCTATCTTGTGGAGATAGACGTCAAGGTTCCCGAACGCAAGATCATCGCGCACTACTGGTGTTGCAATCGGTGCCAGAAGCTCTACAACGCCAAGGCCACTACGACAACTATCAAGCATCTCAACCAATTCCATCGTCAGTTCGAACTTGGCGAGCACTCCGAGCCACCGCCCAAGAGAGCTAGGAGTGTGTTGGACTTACAAAGAGAGGCTGCGATAGGAAACAAAATGCCCATTTCTCGTTCGGTTGCTGTTCAATTCAAGAAGGAGCTCGTCGACTGGATAGTCACTGGCAACATCCCATTCTCTGGTATCGAACACCCATCTTTTCGGAACATCCTGTTGTTGCTGGATCCCATTGCCACTCAGAAGCTACTGCCCCAGTCTAGGAATATTATCAAGTCGTGGGTTCAGGAGAGATACGACCAGGAGGCCCGCCTGTTGAAGCAACAATTAGTCAACACCCAATATCAAACCCATCTCTCCTTCGATATTTGGACCTCACCAAACTCCTATGCATTATTGGCCATCATCGCCCATTTTCTCGACAGTTTATATCCCCAAGGGTGACCACCTAGTGCACTTGAATCCAACCCGCCTGTCACAACCAGACTCGTCAATGTACACCAAACGGTACGACCGAAACTCGGACAGAGTATAGAGGTAGAGGTCGCGCAGCTCTGCACTTCGTTCTTGTGCAACGCGACGTGCGGTTTTCTTGGACCAACCCGCCTCCCTCAAGGCCCTGCTAATGCTGTAGGTTGTCACTAAGATGTCGAATTCCTCCCAGAGGAACACGACCATCTCGTCCTGGTACATGGGCGGCAAACGGAAGGGGTACTTGGTAACCGTGACCTCCAAGGTTGCAGTATCCGTTTCCTGGAGATAACGCTTGCGCATCTTCCCGGTGACCAATGCAATGACCTCCAGCAGATGACTTGGACAGGCGAAGGGGATGCAAGCTGGCAGCACTCTATTGTAAACGCCTGCTACAAAGCCACGGCCATTTTTCACCTCCCCTCCACATTTTGCCTTCTCATCACCACCATGAAAACCCTTCTCCCATTCCTCCATCCACTTCCTCAGCCACCGCTAACCATCATGCTCCGCGAAACAGAGTTGCGATCGACTCCAAGCTTATGTCCCTAATCGGGCACCTTTCTCTTCGTGCCGGCTCGCCTCCCCAGGATACTGGACAACCCTCTGCCGAGCTCCGGAAACTCCAAGAGGACGCCTATGCCACAAGATCCCCATTCGGCTCGATCGCGTCGTCTCTCTCCCTGTTCGAGATCGCAGGCCGCGTGAACGATGCTCCCCTGCGGTCTTATTTCCGCCTAGGCCGTCGGCCAAAGTGGGTATTTGAAGTCGAGCCTCAAAGTCGGACCGCTGCGGCACGCCGACACTGTCGACATCAGTCGCGCTCAGCGGCGAATAGTCGGACGAGCTGGTCACGGTCGGCGCACCCCAAAGACCCGCTTCATGTCGTCCGGCACAAGGTCGCTCCCGCCACAGGGACTCAGCCACCATTCGAACGCTCCGGAAATTGGCGAGACTGAGTGCGAGCGACGGGAAACGGCGGTCTTAGGGGAACCTGCAGACTGTAAGGAAGATTTGCCGGCCCACCGCAGACTCGACTCAGCCAGGCGTTGCTAGCGCGGTGGCCTCTCAGGCCGTGCCACTGGAGGGCAGGGTGCTGCTGCGGCAACAACAGGGGATAAGAACGTATGAAGAAGACAGAGCGCAGGAAGGTCTTGATATAGAGCTCGCAGTCTGATACCCTTTCTTTCGAAGGCTAAGAGGCCTTCCCACTCTGTATTTGCAGGATCGCACACTGATCGTTTCCTTGATTGTCGATATGGGTTTTTCACCCGGCCCACGGGCGCGGTTTTCCTGTATAGTAAGTTGTTGAAGGTCCGGCACGCCCTAGGGCATAACGGTGTAGGAATAACAATATTATACCGCGATGCGCGGATGGGCCCCTCGGAAATCATGGGATCACGGGCTACTCGATCCACCAGATCAAGTACGCGCTCAAGAAGAAGTTCCCCACCGTTGGGCTCCGGACGGGAAGGCTACGGAAGGGAGAGAGGAGAATGGCGGCGGAGAGGGAACAGGGCAGGCACAGACGGGGGACCCGGAGGTCACAGATGTCGAGTGGTGAGTTGATTTGTGTGCTCGAATGAGAAGACAGGAACTTGCCGGGGCTGCGACCCTTAGGGTGCTGATTGTTGGTCACAGGGAGCACCTGAGAAAGTTGAAACCAACGAGCCTGTACTATCACCTCCAGCCCAAGAGGGCTTGCAGGTTGCGCACATTCATCCTAAATATTATTATTCCTACACCGCTGTGCCCTAGGGCGTGCCGGACCTTCAACAACTTACTATACAGGAAAACCGCGCCCGTGGGCCGGGTGAAAAACCCATATCGACAATCAAGGAAACGATCAGTGTGCGATCCTGCAAATACA